AGTGGTGGGGAGTGAGCGAGCGGCGGCAGGGTGCTTAGCTGCCGGCTGGGGTTAAACCACGACAGTCCTTAAAATGTTGGGACTGTATCTTATTGGAGCTTCACACAATCCCTACGTTTGGGCAAGTTTTGATTCATTGATACTACTATAGCAAACTACCAAGATACCAAGTCCTCAGACCAATGAATGATTTTAAGACTGCTAAAAGATACAGATTTTTAGTCTGTCACTTCAAGAAAGTATACTAATCCCAGTACTGTCATTAAGCAAATGAAGACAAGTTCTATTCTACACATTAGCCTCATTACTACAATGGCTAGCACCTTCTAACAGCACCTTAAGTTACTACACAGTATCTGTTACAGACACTGCCTGGGGAAGACATGTGCTTGTGATCTCTTTGGGTTCCTGCCTTCAAACAGATAGGTGCTACATTGGAGGCTGGAGAAAAAAATTAAAAAAAAAAAAAAATCAACCCACACACCACACAGTGAGAAAATTACCAGATTTAAAGAAATCGACTTTGGACAGAAGACAACAAGATTTGATGAGGTTCATTCCAGTCTCAACCCTTCCCCAGGAGGAAAGAAAAAAGAAAAAAACATTACAAAACCCTCTCCTGAGTTTTAGAATAGAAAATAGAAAATTCTACTTTGCCAGGATAAAAGCATCACAGATCAGTCTTTGCTCTGCAGCTTTAGACACTCTTGCAGACTGCAGAGCCTACAGCCATCAAGCACAGTATTTTAGAATTTAGAATCTGAAAGCAGACTTGAGGAGGCTGCAGTTCACATGTGATTGGAGACAATGCAAATTCCGTACTGGGTTACTCAAACATTTAACCCATGTGGTCTAGATGTGTGGTGACATATATCTAACTATACAACAGAGCACCCCAGCCAAATAAATAGGCACCTCTCACGTTTGCAAAACCTAAGTCTGTGTTACCATACCTGGTCACCTACTAGTTAAGCAGACTTTAGTATCCCCCCCGCCCCAGATGCATGCATGAACACAATGGCTAACTTTGGGCCACCCATATTAGCCAACTATTTAACAGACTCTGTTTTTAAAAGTATCTGGGTGACTAGGAATGAAGACAGATAACCAATTTCTCAAACACCTCAGGTAATAAAAACAACTGGATCTTTCAATAGTGTCCACCTGAAGAAGACATTCTGCTTGTAGTTGATAACACTATGGGCAGTAGGTCTGAACTTTCTATACAACCTGAACTCAAATGTTTAAGACAGCCTGCTCCACTACTTAAGCAAACAGCAATGACTACTATCTACACATCATTTTTGTGGCCCTCCAAGAAAGAATCTCTACTGTAGCTAATTTGACAGTAACTGAAAATGTTCAACCCTTGAAGATCTAAGAAAACTACGTAGCAATCTACCTCAAAGACTACCTTTGTTAACAGGGGAATTAAAAAAAACCATACTTCCTACAGAATATCTTGCAATTTGATACCAGTATTTTCACTCAGAAAAAGAGGTGAGTGGTGTGGGAGGAAAAGAGAAAAGTGTCACGGGAACCACATTTTTTTAGAAGGACAAGATGAGAGACAGCTCATTTTTATCAGCAGGATCTTTTCTGGTCAAAGCTGTACTAGAGCCTGTGTGACACTGAGACAGGAAGTTGCACTGACACCCCACACACACTTCTCGGAGTCAAGTGAAGTCATATCCTCCTGTAAGTAAAGAATTACTTCTGAGCAAAGCAGCCCATATGACACTTTGCAAAGCAAAAGAGACAGCAAAAGAAATAAAAAGATCCAACCACTCCAAGAATTCCTGATGCTTGCCCTTCCTTCTATCCGTTTGAAGATTTGAGCTCAGTAATATTGCTACTCTGAGGTGAGACCAATTGCATTAACAATTTTATCAGTAACGAGCGTGGGTACTGCATATAGATGTATAACATTAGAACTAATTCATGAAGAGAACTACAACCTGAATTAGCATTAACTACCTTCAAAAACCTAGGAGACTTGTTATTGTACTTGACTCAAAAAAAAAAAACCAAACACTTAAAAAAAAATAATGTAGTTGCATAATAATTAGATTTTGAAATTGAAGAGTAGTGCATGAGAAAAGCATGTTGTTCCTTCAACAGAAGGATCTATAGTACAATTTATTCATAACCCAGAACTCCTAGCAGGATTTTGTTAGCTTAGATTAACAACACAAAATAGGTCCAGAACTTACATATGAAAATGGAAGCCACAGGAGTGCCGAATACACTCCTACATTTCCTAAGGTAGCTCATGAGCTAATTAAGGCTGCAGTCATGTTTATTACCACACTTAGCTGCCGCACATGGAGAATCCTCAAGTGATCTATTCATGAGGTACAAATATACATTCATACAATTTGGTTTTATTCTTGAATAAGTCACCTTTACTTTATTTAGTTTCTTACCCTATTGTTGGGTTGATGTTGGGATCAAAGCTATCTTCTACAAATCTCCACACGATACTTGATTTGCCCACACCAGTGTCCTAAAAAAAAAAAAAAAAACAAACCAGAAACAGTTGAAAAAGACATTAGTTACTATAAACAGATAATTCTTCTTGTCCTCAAATCTTGCACTACACTGTGCATGAATAACATGTTCCTGCAGAGAATCTCAGATAAGTTAGATTCTGAAATTCTTCAGGTATTATGTTCATTTAGTAGAAATATTAAAGATCTCTGATAAGTTACAGTATTCTAAACAAAATTGTAGAGGTGTTTTTATGAAAGACTATAAAAATCTGCATTCATGCTTATTATCAGTTATTCAAACTGTTTTTTTTTTCCCCAAAGGTATGCACAAATTATACTGAACAGGAGTAGGGAA